GATATCTTATTTCCAGACATCTTCGTGAATCAGTGAACACTAACTTCGCAGAAAACCGAGCAGCAACCTTTAATAGTACTGATCAGATAAATTCTCAGGGAGGGTAGCGACCTGCCCCCTAAAGAATTACCCTTCTAAGTAAGCTCCCAGGAAAGGCTGGTGGGGTCACAACGGTCTCACTTAAAAAACCAGTCTCCTAGACAGAACCTACTTACACAGTCATTATTCCCCACTGCCCAAAAAACTCCTTTGCACACAAGCTCCACCCGTCACTGGCTCCACCGCACAAAGAGACCTCTTTGGTATCTTTTCTGATGTGGAAGATCAGACAAAACTGCAACCACAGAGCATACTCAGAATACCAACTAGCCTAACCTCGCTCTGATACCACTTGTTGGGAATTCCAACCACACCGAAACTCCGCCCAAGATCCTCTGAAAATAAAAAACTGGAGAACACAAAATTTAACGTGGAAAACCCTCTGTTAACGAAGAGGGAAAAACCACCAGGGCAACAAGGCCGCAGAAAATCCACTATGTAAAAAAAAATTACACAATTTTTCTACCACTCACTTACCCAAAATTACCCACAGAATTTTCTACTCGTTAACCCTAACTCTCACCCTAAGGAATTTTTACCCTAAGGAATTTTTTACCAGAGATTAATTGTTAACACAATAACTCTGTGGGATGATTTTACATAAGAAGTAGCACTTTCTTATATAGGAGAAAAATCTCCCTCTCTTTCATTCCACAATCGATGTGGGACAAAGAGCAAAACCCAACAAAAATTAGAACCCAAAACTCTTACCGATGTTACAAGTTACAACATCATAACCATCCCATTACTGATATTGATATGTACGACATTATGGTCATTTTTTTCTTTAATAATGTCAACTTACCTATAACATACAACATTGTGCGTCAAAACATACAATCATAAAATGCAACACATGACTAAATCGTGCTCAAGTATGTTAAAACAAAAACAGTGATGATCAAGAAGACTCAGGCGCCAATCCAGGTGGATAATACGGAGTACCTAAATTGGTAAGCCAACAGGGAACTTTAGTGTACGTGTCCGTATACGGACAGTAATGCGGACGCGCAAAAAAACCCGCACACTCGGCCATAGGCCTCTGCATCCCCTGCCCCGGAATACAATTACTCCTCACATCAAGCACACCCTTCTCGATGAGCGATGTGCAAACCGGCCCCGCCTGCATAAAATAATTACCTGAAAGCGACAAATTCGCCAGCTTCCCGAGCCGACATATCGCTTCCGGAATATTACCGTACAACATGTTCCCGGCAAAATTCAACACCTCCAAGTTTTGCAAACACCCTAAGGAAAAAGGAAGCGGGCCCGTTAGGTCGTTGTTGCTCGCGTCGAATACGACCGCATCTTTGAGGAGGCCCAACTCGTACGGTAGGCACCCACTTAGGGAGTTGTTGAGAAGGAGAATTTCGGACAGGCCCGAGAGGGCCCGGGAAATGCCGGGTGGGATGGGCCCGTAGAACTTGTTGTTGGCCAGTGTGAGGTAGGCTAGGTCCGCATCGGGCCCGAAGCTCTCGGGCAACCGGGTCATAAAGTCGTTGTTGTTGAGGA